GACCACGAAGCGGCCGTCCTGGCGCGCGTTCCCGAGCTCGGTGCGGAGGTCCGAGCACTGCCGCGTGAGGGCCTCGATCTCCGTCTCCTTCTGGGTGATCCGGGCGGCCGCCGCCTGGGCCGCGGTCGTCCGCCAGGGCCGCGGGAGGTCGGGGCGGGTGAAGAGCTCCTCCCCTCGCACCACCCCTGTTCGGGTTTGCACGTAATTGCCAGGGACCAGCGCCGCGGCGTAAACCCCCGTCGTCCTCCCCACCGGCAGAGGGGGCTCAAGTCTGGGGGCCGACATTGGGGGGGGGGGCTCGGTTCACTGCGCGGAAATACCGTGTCGCACCAGAAGAACACAGAAGGGGAATCTAACTAATACAAGTGCAACAACAAAAAATAAAAAAAAAGGACTTTTAAGGAAATTGAGTAGCGCTGCTTTACTAGGAAAAAATAATAATAGGAAAATACTGCGTAAGGAGGGGGGGAGGGACAAAAGGGATTAAATGGGAGAATGGGGGTTTGGTTTTTGTGTGAAACTCGACTGGGGGATGCCATAAAAATACGCACGCCAACTTCGAGAAAACATAGCTGGGAATTATACATTTTTCTTCTTTTGACCAAAATAATAGCGCTGATCCTTAATTTACATGCATTACTATACAAAAGGAAATAACGAACGACCTTGTTCGTATGATATGGTGACGAATGGATCTATCGAATAGTTCCTCATGAACAGCGTAAACTCTTGAACTTGTGATTTAATGTACGTGCGAAATGATAAATTTACACGGAGCGGGTACGCAAAAATCGGAAACTTGAATGTATGAGAAGCCAAAAAATAAGAAAATCAATACCCAACAGAGGACACCACATCCCGTAAAAAGGTTCCATGGAGGATATAGCCATCCAGAATTAACTAGTTAATTGAGGTTACCTCGATGTTGCTATCCTCCGTGGTGGCCTCGAGGGCCTTGCGAAGGCCCCGGGTCTCCTCCTCCATCGTGCGCCTATCCGGCGCGTGGGCGAACTTCAGCTGGTTGAGCTCAACCCTAAGCCGCGCGATGGTCTCCGCCTGGTCCGAGATCAGCGTTTTTTGCCAGTCGTTCGCTTCGATCTGCCCGAGCTCGCGGTGGATGAGGGCCGGGTTCCCCTCCGAGAGGCCCCAGGGGCGCCCACGGCCCGCCCCCGCCTCCGCGGCGTGCGGGATGAAGTGGGCGTCGAGGATCCCCCGCAGCCGGCGCAGCTCCTCGCCCGCGTCGAGCTGCAGCTCCAACATCCGCCGCTTCGCCTCCCAGAGCTCGAGCTGGGCGTTGGAGAGGGCCTTGGCGAG